CAATAAGAGGAATTTATAAAATAAAACCAATTAAGTTGAAATGTAATTAACTACGTTTATAATGCGTTCTAGCAAACCCCACAAACTACCCTCTTACTGATGTTACCCCCTGTTGCTAATTGATCACAAAAGACAAGATAAAGATCAAAATAATCAGAATTCAATCGAACTCGCTTCGTCAGATCTCATCAAATATAAGATATAAGACATATGCCTGATTGTGTTTGTCCATTACCTCCTAGTATCATTTTGGTAAATAATGATTCGACGCAATCTTGAAATTTGCTTAGCTCATTGTTTAAACTATCAAATTTAAGATATCGTCCCTTTAATATCTTTTGTATGCTTTCATTTACCTTTTACTTGCATAATTTAGTTGACTAGGTGTATTTTAATAAGGATTAAATTTCTGTTTTATTTTCTTTAATATTGCATCCACAGAATATACATACATAAAAAGTAAGGATTAGGCGTTTCATGAAGGGACCACTTTTTCAACTTGAAATTCCACAAAGATTACTAAACATTGATATAATACCGATATAAATCCACAAAAAAAACTTATTAAAAGAGATAAATATAGAAAATAGTGGTATATTCTGTGTATTTTGAAGACTTTAGACTATATTTTATTAACCTTTTCATTTAAAATAATGATATAATACTAGTAATGTTAATTATAATGTATTGGATAATGACATTTTGGATAATAAATCATTAGTTGATATTAAAAGAGAGGCGGAAGATATCAAATGGATATCAAACTCATAAGTCAAAGACAACCTGACCACGCCATGACTAAAATACATGCATCTAAATATTTGTAACTGCAAAAATGTCAGATGAAATATATAAATTGGGATTTCTGTTAAGGAATTATAAACATACATACATCATGAAGATATTGCCAGTGTCAGTCCACTTTATGTCAGCGACATCAAATGACGGAAAAGCGGAATAATAGACAATGAAGCGGTGTCTAAAATGATTTCTTGTCAAATTTCCATGAACATATTTGCAATAGGATGATTTTGACTCTCATTGACCGTTCTTTTAATTTAAAGAAAATGTTCTGCATTACAAGTAAACTTGTTATCACACATATGATAATTCTAAATTGGCATTATGTAGGAGGGTGTAAATGATAGCAAGTGTCCAAAAAATTTATCGTGCATCATTGTGTACAGTAATGAAACAACAATTGAGACAAGAGTTGTAGAGGCTTGGAAAAGGCCAGAGTTTCGTTTTATAAGGTATTCAGAGGCATATTGTAGTTTACGGCAATGTCCAACCGAAAGAAAAAAACATGTCACATGCGAGATATAGCGTATCAACTGACTACTTTGGAAAAGGGAATCCATTAATCCTTTTCTAGCAACTACAACTTGTGTCACAATTGTTGCTACAGCAAAGTACACTATTATTAACTAAGCTATGGACAGGCACTCCAACTTACATCACCCTGCAAAATGTCTGACAGCAACTTTACAAACTTTGAAATTTTAATCCTGGTATTTATGATGAGGTTATTTACCTACTTTGAGAACTCTTCCTTCAAATAAATAGTGTTGCCATGGGAACAAAATAATCCAACAATACAAACATTTTTTTATGGAAAGTTGAAAAAACAAATTTCAGTTACATCGCTTCATCGTCCATGATCCAATTAGTCGATGTAATTGAAGTAAAGAGGAAAGAAACTGATGATACCTTCATGATTCTATCGAACACGCAAATAGTGTCCATACATAAATCAAATTTACTCATGGTATATCTAAAATCTGAATATAATATTAGGATACTAACACATATCATATCAAAGATTCGAGTTATCTCTATCAACTGCTGGTGGAGGTTTCCTCCCCGAGGTTATCACCAGCCCAGTAGTCAGCACTGTTGTGTTGACATGATTATCATTGATATGAACTAGTTGTTAACTTCTATGTCATTTAGTCTCTAGTGGAGAGTTCGCTCATTGGCAATCATACCACATCTTCTTATTTTTATATGATAATAAATTACCAGTTTACAAAACTGCGAATTTTTTGAATACTGAGGATTTTCTACCCCAAGGAATAGATTACCTTAGTTGTATTTGGCAAAATTTTTCGGAATTTTGGTTTCTCAATGCTCTTCAGCTTTGGCCTTTTTGCTTTTTGATTCGAGCGTCACTGGTGAATCTTTTTGTAGACGAAACGCGCGTCTGGCGTACAAAATTTAAAGCTGATATCGATTAACTGGTTGATTGGTGTTTAACGCCACTTTCAGCAATATTGCGCTATTTCGTGGCGGTAAGTTTTTATTGGTAGAGGGAGCGGGAGTGCCCGTGAGAACCACCGACCTTCGGTAGGAAACTAACAATCCTACTCAATTGAGAGGAGTCGAAAGCACCTGCCACGTGCCGGTTTGAAACTAACAACCTCAATGTAGACAGGCGGCTAGTGACACAGTAGTTCGACTAATTAGACCACTCGGCCACCGAGGCCCCGCCTGGTATCGACGATGAGTTTTTTCGAGGACAGTATTAGTGTCTGTTTGGTTGTATGGGGTGTATGAATTCGCATGCACGTTCTATCAGAATGAGAACCTAAAGCTACGTTTGGGGAGAGTACAACGCTCTCTGTACTATAAAGAAACCTTTGTTACAACTCTTTGAGCGTCGGTATATGTGGCAGATGCTTTCAGGTTAAATCGCTGCCTCTATCTATATGTCCTCTATTCAATATTGACAAAGCAGCTTCAATTGCAGTGACGGCTAGCTGTATAAATGGTGAAAAATAACACATTCGAAAGGAAATTCATAAAAACAAACCAAATCAATCAATTGCAAATAAAGCTGAACACATTTCCCTTTTTAGACGTTCATGAAAGGATTGCCTCAATCCTTTCATGAACGTCTAAAAAGGGAAATGTGTTCAGCTTTATTTGCAATTGATTGATTTGGTCTCTTCAATGTGATAAATCGAAAGCTACACAAATAAAGTTTATGTCAAATTTCACCAGCCCAGTAGTCACCACTTCTGTGTTGACATGAAGTGCATTGATATGGTCATTATTCTAAATTAACTGAGTGTAAGGATACTCCAGGAAAAGATTAGCTTAGCTGTTTTATGCCAAACCTTTCGGAAGTTTTGGTTCTCAATGCTCTTCAACTTCGTACTTTATTTGGTCTTTTTCACTTTTTCGATTCGAGCGTCACTGATGCTTCTTTTTTTATAGACGAAACGCGCGTCTGGCGTATAAAATTTTAATCCTGGTATATATATGATGAGTTTTATTAAAATGAATCATAGACTGTAGGAACATCTGTCAATCGTGATACCTCTTCAAATTGACCATTTCGAATTTCTAATTTTGAAGTTAAATATTTGATTTTCGATTTCCAAACAAGACATTCAATTTTTCCAGTGTCGAATGAGTTTTATTGGTGTTTTTTTATGGTATATTAATTCTAAGGAAGGGATTTTTAATTTTACAAGACAGAATTTTTACTTATGAAAAATAAAATTAATTGTACCAATGTTTCTGCACCAGATACGTATTTCGGCAGTAAATGTCTCTTTCCTGATGCTCGAGGCCAAAATATTTGAAAATCCAAACGTATGTGCTGGTGAGATATTGCAGTATAATAATCTTATAGTTGACTTACCAAAGTTGACTTACCAAATGTTACTCTTTAGTTTAAAGAGAAGATTTGTAAGATTTGAAACCATTTACAGACATAAAGAATAAAAAACAATTGATACTTTTAAGAATGTTTGAATCAAACTAAATACAAACAGCCTTGACTGGGAAAATGCCAATTATTGCATTTTTGGTATCTGATTTTAACACGCGTGCTCTTCTCGTTATATAAGCCTTGATAACTTGAAAAATATTCTTGTCGTCCAAAATGAATAATCGAACACGTCAACACCTATTGTTTTAATTAAATCACTTTGGATCTTAAAATTTATGCCAGGTCTTTTAACATTGTGCCAATCACAGGGTGTTGTGTGATTTTTCTGATATGTAAAGTATAAGATGGGAGATAAAGACGGTATTTGATCATTCTCCATACACGAATCTAATATATGATCGGACTATTTAGAGCGGAACATTAACACTTGGTAGATAAGCTATCTATTGTTTACTGATACAGACAAATTTGTTTTAATCAAATAAGATATACGTCTTCCAGTTTAAGAATGCCTTTTGTATACTTTTATTGACGAAAAAGTCCGACCGTACTTAAAGGATTCAATAATGCGATCGTATACATTTTCTACATAAGTAAATAGAAATTAGAAGATGTGGTATGAGTGCCAATGAGACAACTCTCTATCCAAGTCACAATGTGTAAAACTAAAAAGTAAAGAATTATAGGTCAAAGTACGGCCTTCAACACGGAGCCTTGGCTCACACCGAACAGCAAGCTATAAAGGGCCCCAAAAATGACTAGTGTAAAACAATTCAAACAGGAAAACCAACGGTCTTATCTATATTAAAAACGAGAAACACTCATGCACCACATCAACAAACGACAACCACTGAACAATAGGCTCCTGACTTAGGACAGGTGCATACAAATGCCGCTGGTTTAAACGTTTTAACAGGCGCCAACCTTCACCCTAACCTGAAACAGTAGTGTAACATTACAACATGAAAAAATACCTGTATATGACAGTTGTTTTCCATTCGTTTAATGTGTTTGAGCTTTTGATTTTGCCATTTGATAACGGACTTTCCGTTTTGAATTTTCTTTGGAGTTCGGTATTTTGTTATGAGTGCCCTCAGTCCGTTCTGATTCAGTAAGTTTATTGGCGTATTGTTTTTGTTTTTGTTTTTTTTAATTTGAATCAACTTTTATATTAAAAGGACTCTGACGATTTGTATACACTCCAGGTATGTAAAATGTATACACACGGCACACTCGACCTGTTTCAATAAGTGGAGGAAGAGAAATTTCCTATTCGCTTAATTACAACAAAGGCATTATACTATAACAAGATAAGTCCGTACAGAGCCTTTGATTGGCTAAACAAAACACTACGTTGTCATTTTGACTTAGTGTATCAAGTTTATTGAGCTGACATAATATAAAGTTTGCATAATTAAATATCAACAATATTATACTGTCAAGTAAAAAGTAACTGTATGAATCAAAGTGAAATATATTCTGCTTTCGAACAGTTTTTGTTTAAATTGGCCTTCTCCATGCACGATAAAATAAATAGTTTTGGATGTACATGAACTAAGTGCTACATAACCAAAAGTTACCTGACTCTGCTTTACGTACATTTTTGTAGAGTGTTTGTCCTAATACTAATTGCCTACCATCAATAATTTCCACCCATACTTTCTATGAACCCGAAGTTAACACAAAATGTTATGTAGTACATACCTATATGCATCATACCTGTTATATGTAAGAATGAATTTATTATAAGGTTTAAAGCTGATATTTGTTGAAATCATATTCAGTTATCATCTATTTTCAAAAGAAATAAGTAAAAGTAACTTTAAATGGTAAAAATGTTAAGAGTTTATTTACCGCAACCTTCTCACCAACGTATGGTATACTGTTAATTTATTATTTATCATCACCCCAGTAACTAGACCATATATGTAATGCATTCGTCTATCCATTTATGAACCGTTTGGTAATTCCTAACAATATTATTTTGTACATTTACTGAAAAATGCTAGCAAAAGAAATTTAGTAATACAAAGCACTTTCGATCAGCCTTAGGTATTAATTGGGACATACTATATATTAGTATACTAGTCCCAGATATTAATAAGTTGTCAAACTTGAATTGTCAGTTGTTATTTCCTTTCTTGAACATGATCTTATAAGTAGAATGTAACAAATTGAAGATTTCGAACTACGTTTAAGGTGGATACAAACCAAATTTTGAAGAAGAAAAAACGAATGACACAATTCAGGTGTGTGGATTAAAAAAGCAAAAAAAAAAAAAAGTTTAGGAAATAAACTTGTAATTTCCAATCAAAACAGAAATGCGACCATGCAGAAGCTTTTGAAAGATGCATAAATATACTGTCCTTTGGCCAAAGCCTGGAATTAATCAAATTTGACAAGGGTAAGAAATAGTAGATGAAAGGGAAACACTTATGGAAATATTTTTACAGTTAATTATCATTTAGTAAAAATTATTCTTGGTGGTGACCGGAAAGGTTTTTGTAATTATGTTGGCTGAATAGCCCTGTTTGAGCTATCGATGTGACAAGGACTGAAACATCAAAGAGAGGCGTGAGATACCAAAGGGAAATTCAAACTCATTAGTCAAAGACAAACTGACAACGCCGTGACAAAATAAAAAAACGACAAAAAGACGAACAGAAGTATACAAAACACAACACAGAAAACAGGATAACACGAACCCCACCAATAGCCGGGATGACCGTAGGAAGGTAAGCAGATCCTGTTCCATATGTGGCACCCGTCGTGTTATTCATTTAAGTACACATTCGGTTATAATTATCACTCAAATCTTTAGAAAAAAAACCAACTGTAATATGAATACACTAAACGCAGGTGACGCAGGTATATAATTATCTTTAATTGTAACCATTGAGAACTTAGCTATCTCCTTTGCAGAAACTGTACTACAAGTTTTCAATTGTCTACATTTTTCAGTCAATATGTCTTATATGTCTTGTAGTTATTCAAGCTCCTATTGAAATTGTATTGATTGATTAGTTAAAGTTAATTTGACAAAATATTTAAGATAAACATTGATATTTCTTTAGATTGACTAAAGGTTAAATGATCCATAGATATCATTTGAAATAACAATTGAATATTGTAAATCACAGTGCATACATGCTATATGTACTTAGGCAGAAACATTCTTACATCATGTTAAATGTCTCTGATGTAGGTTATATTGTACGTCAATTTTTTTTTTACTATCGTTAGATTTTCGAATGGTTATAATGAATTAAAGTAACCAGAGGGAATAATTTGAAAATTATTTTTTTCTCTCACCGTTTCTTCAAGGGCATGGGTCAGCAAATCGCGATAGGAATGTCAGATTCATAAGACGCCAAAAAGTATTGTATAATCAATTAATTAAAATAAAAACTCGGGCAGTTTACATATATTAGCGCAGTTTTTCAGTTTTCCGGTAACTGGTGTTCTCTAAATATTGTTTCTGAAAAGCCTTTTTCTGATTAACTGACACGTCATAATCCGACCGATCTTCTGTCAAAAAAAATCAGTGATAATCACATCTAAATCAGCTGGCAAAACTAAATTTGCGCATTGCCATTAGCTAGTCAATGATTATGGAAATGTTCCAAATATGTCAAGGATTTTGCGAAAGAATTGCCGAGCAAGGAGGTCGATGGGGTGGAAATGTTCTTGTTAGATTATTACGTCATGAATTGTTAATAATAAGTTTAATCTGCCCGTAAAGACTCGAGCATTTCAGCCATAAATGCAGACTGTTGCATTTGCGAACACAACTTACCATAACTAGAAGGGCCATGAATGTTTGTGTTTGAATAAGATTCACTCGACTTTTCTGAATATTCTGAAATCAGAAGCACAGTGATGTTGAGAATAAGGACTACATACTAAATTCAAAATATAGAGGATTGACCGAAGTTTTCAAAACTTGACTTCATTGAAATAACATTATTTCAAAGTAAAGTATTTATTAATCTATTCTAAATCCCATTGTTTGATTTTACCACGAGTTATTTTTGTCATATAGCTACTAACGTTTCAAGCCTACGTATTCATACATCCCTTGAGGTCTTTTCACTAAAAATCTTACGACTAGAATTGATCATAAGTAAGTTACACTGAAATGTTCTGACTTACGAGTATTTTTACTTGTTACAATTTTTTTTGTGAAATGAGTCGCTTGCTTTCAAATATCTGGGTTTGGGCGTTCCTAATATATCTAAATCTAGAAAAACACTTCGGATGCACCGAATTTATACAGCATTATTTTCATTATCTTCAATCTATGACTTCTATATCTTCTTTTGCAACACTGCAACGTGCATGTAATCTTGAAAGTTGCTGTTAAGTCTCTAGTTGTTTTTTTTAACAGTATTACCATTGCAAAAGTTATTTTCGTCTACGAACCAGTGTCCCCATTTCTTAGCATTCAAAATTTTGATTTGATTACCAATTAACCAGTTATTATTTACGATGATAGGTTGCGAATTATTGCGTTTTGATTCTGATAAATTGTACCATTTGCCATCTGCAAATAGTTCTAATGATAGATATTTTGGTTTAATTCCTCTAAATCTTTTCCTTACTAGACCAGACAGATAAACCTGATCATTATGTTGGTCACTAACTGTCTTGTTTGCTGGCATTGACGAAAGTTTGTTATCAAGATAAAGTAGTCTGTCATCCAGCTTTTTCCATAATTCTGTTGTTCCTTTAGTTGTAAACATATAGATAAAACCACCGGCAACAAGGTCTGGTCGACTAGAAACACAAGACACCAGTATATCGTAGCCTTTTTCTGTAGACAACAGTGGTATTGGGTTATAAAACCATACTGCATCTACTTCAAACAACAGAAGCTCTATATTGTCGAGTAACAGCTTCAAAACAATATGTGACCGGAAATTAAGCAGTCTGATATATCCAGCATGACTGTATTTCTGTTCTCCTTCAAAAGACTTGCTCGATATAGCTACAACTTTCACATCTGGCCAGAGATTCTGAATTTTATTCCTTGTTTCTATATCGGATGTGAGAATCAATACCTAAAATTTAAAGAAATTTTATATTTTAATTTCACAGTAATTTAAACAATAAGTACAGATGTTTTTTTTTTGTTTTCCAATATCCAGCGATTATATCATTGAAGGCTGCATTTTATTATATCAAGAAATCATGTAGTTTTTAGGGAAACTATGGAATTAATTTGCATATTGATGTTTTATTAATATTTTTTTATATCTACAATAGCTATTTTACTAATCTAAATTACTTAAACTTTGACCTATATAAAATATGTAACTAAATCAATTGTTAGAGAACGACTTAACATTATATTACAATATATTGTGTCTCGTCAGTTTAAATGCTCTTACATTTAGATTTTGTTTAAAGGAAACCAATATAACAATTTTCCGTAATCTTCAAAGTATTTATTTGAGCATAAAACATATCAAGCTGTATACTCACTTGTGAATGAATAGCCATGTGTTTTGTATTGCAAAGCCAGCTACATACAAATGGAAAGAAAGCTCCATTAACTAAAGTCACCAATAGAGGCTTGACATTCATACGCTTGGCAATCCCAACGACTTCATCCATTTTTTGGCTTCTTTGCTCCGTATATTCTTTTCTAAAGGATAACTCTATATTTCGATTGACACATAGATTGAATGCGAAGATCAGCAGCAAGATGGACACGTGAAAGATAGAGAAATAAACCAAAACATTGGAAGAAATTTTCCGCATTTTTCTTTTTCATCGTAATTTCTGAAAAAGAAAGAAATATATTTTTCGACTCGTCTCGTCGCCCTATTAAAATCAAGTATATTTGCCTTTTTAAAAAGCTGTAATATATTTTCCTCTCAATTTGTTGCGAAAACTTTACACATTGATGATTAATTGATTGATTGATGTTTACCGCCACTTTCAGCACTATTCATAATTATAAATGAACTGTTTACAAAACTTTGAATTTTTTTCGAAATAGATATAAGAAGATGTGATATGAGTGCCAATTAGACAACTCTCCATCCAAGTCAAAATTTATAAAAGTAAACCATTATAGTTCACAGTACGGTCTTAAACACGGAGCCTTGGCTCACACCGAACAGTAAGCTATAAAGGGCCCCAAAAAATTACTAGTGTAAAACCATTCAAACGGGAAAACCAACGGTCTAATCTATATAAAAAACGAGAAACGAGAAACACTTATGAACCACATCAACAAACGACAACTACTGAACATCAGATTCCTGACTTAGGACAGGTGCAAACAAATGCAGCGGGTTTAAACGTTTTAATGGTACCAAACCTTCACCCTTTTTCTGAAACAATAGTGTAACATCACAACATAGAAAGACACACTATAAAATATCAACTGAAATAGCTTAGCTCAATCAAAGGACATACACTACTTAAGGATTTCATACCCCAGGAATAGATTACCTTAATTTTTTTTGGGCAAAACCGTTTGGAATATTGGGTCCTCGATGCTCTTCAATTTCGTACTTTATTTGTCCTTTTTTACAACTTAATTCGAGCATCCCTGATGAGTCTTTTGTAGACAAAACGCGCGTCTGGCGTACAAAATTTTAAGCCTATTATCTATGATGAGTTTATTATAAATCATGTTTACATTTGTATTTGCGTATTTGCGTATTTCTGGGTACTTAACTTTACACAGTTGTAAAAAATTCAAGAGAAACGAACGAAGGTCTAAGTCTTCTAAATTAAACTTCTTTAAAACAATAATACATACTTTTTCATTCCTTAAGGTAGATAGGGTGTCTTCCACCATCTTGGAATTTGAAATACCAGAAAACAATCGTTCTAGATCTTTAATAAAAGGTGCAAATTTTGAGAGTAGTAGGTAATTCATGTGTAAGAATTTTCATTTCAATATAGAAAATGGCATATTTTATCATATTTATGGTTGTATTTTACAAAAAAACAGAATACTTTTGTTTGATTCTATTTATTCCAACTTTGCCACATAAGGGGAGGCAACTCAAATGTAAGGGCAGATAATTCAGATAAAGTTACTTTTACAATAGAATGTGTTAGGAATTTACTTATTTTATTATGTAGCAAGAAAACGGATCCCGTGACCCCATTTTTTTCTTTTTCTTATCTGAAAGCATACTATTAGAGCTATCTTCTCATATTTTATCTCAAAATTCTATGGTGTAGTTTTCGTTTTATGGCAGAAAATTGGGTTTCCCATGCATAATTATCTATACAAAATCTGTCAATTTTGCACAACCTGTAGCGTGAAAATAAGCCCCGTGACCCATTCTTTTTATAATTTTTTTTTAAAAGCATGATATAAACTACATTTTGGCAAATTATTAAAAAATTCTATGGATTATAATTTAGACACCCCATCTACCTTAAATAAATAAAGTTTATATGTATAAAATCAATACTTACAGTATGCTAATGGCCGACACAAATAAGTGTGTAACAAATAAGAAGATACAATATAAGTATTTTAAATGACTGCAAACACAGCATTGTTTTAAACTCATTAAGTTAATATTAAATGTATTCGAATGTTAGAAGTCATATATATGTATGATGCATAATCATTTTGATGTCTACTTTTTTATTATTTAGTGTTTCATTCAGCCAATTTGCATCGAACCCATTAAGAATTCAATAAGTAACTAAGGCCGAAATTTAGGAATACAAATTCAAAATATAGGATCTATATATATCATAACTTTCACGTGTCAATCTGAAATATCATTAAATAGAAATATAACTACCACTCTATATACTAGTACGTAATTTAGGCCTTCGTCAATTCAATAAACGATTTACGGGATATATACAAATCGTATCGCCAGTGACGATTATGGAGCGGAAACTGCCAACTCCTCTGGGGAACTCTAGTATAGCCGCGGGTTGTGATGAAGTTTCTCCAATATTTAGGTTTCTGCATTCTGTTTTATATATTGTAGATTTTTGTGCTTTCTTTTGTAGTCATGTTATTGGCTTCTGTTTCAAATGATAAAACAGTTTAGTTTTTTTAATGTTTTTGTAAGTTTGTATCTTCTGTCCCGTTTTGATTGATACTTTTGCAGTTTGTTTTTGTGGCCAAAAAGTTTTGCCTTTTATCTTTTTTAATAACGGCTTTGTGTTGTAAACCTTTGTAGCCATGATATTGGTTATTTCTCCATGTTTTTGTTGCCTTTGTATTATTTGTTTCTTCTTCAATAACGGTTTACTTTATGCGTTGTTTTTTTTTTTTGCAGTGGTATCGTCATTTTATTCTTGGTTACTTAATTTTGCATATATGATTCAATTTATCCCCTGACGTTTCGTTTTGCAATTGCATTGATTTAACTAAATAAATCAAAGATCTGCAAACAAACCCAAATTCACTGAAAGACAACAACAATTTAGCTTAGGGCTACCACTAACGATGTTCTAAAGGCAAATCTAAAATGAACAGTATTCATAAAGTGAAGTGACAGATCATGGACATTAAGATGATTAAAAGAAGTCCGAGTCCGATGTTAGAAAAAGGTAACAGAAGAAATTAAGCAAAATGACAATGATCACCATAAATTAACAAAGGACTAATAGCAGTTACTGATATGCCAGCTCCAGACCTCAATTAAACTGATCGAAAGATTATGTCTTCATCATATGAAAATCAAGCACAATTCCTCCAGTTAGGGGTTTAGTATCATTCAGTCATATAAAAATTAGATCCCGTTTCTTAAATCTTTTGGACAAACTGGAATTTCGTTTTTCAGGTGTTCTGCAAAATTTAAAACATTATTGAAATTCAATCACTGTTTAAAGAAAAAGGGACCCATACGTTGATAATTAAAACAAAAACAACAAGCTGCATTGGAAAACCATGAATTAGTTAAGAGTCAGAGGAGGTTTATAAGAAGAGAAGAGACTATTGATATGTTTTAAATTCAGTATATTATTTATTATATAATGTCTTAAAGGTATTCCAAATAAAAACATTGGATAACCCAACAACCGTCCAGTATGCCGGATTAATACAGTCACTGACAGCCAAAGTTAGAAGTGCAATTATGGATATTGACCCATCAAATGACTTAACATTCTTAAGAATCAGGTCTAAAAAGCAAGAAATAATGGTAACCCCAGGTATGTTAATAATAGTGATAATATAGTTATTTTTACAAACTTTGTATTTACTGATTACATTTAAACATAATGGGCATGAATAATATTTATTCACGATTATTTTTATTGTTGATACAATATACACTTGTAAACATTATCACCACACTTATTTGTTAAAATGTATAAAACATTACAACACCAAGACAACCTAGAAAAGACGAAATGCCAAACAAATAATCACATGTATACGATGATGCGTGTTTTCAAAAAGTTTCCGAGAAAGAGAATCGCATAAAATACGGGAATCACTTAAAAAAAGGGGGGAAAATGTGTGTATTCATCTTTTAACGAATTCTAGAAAAATCATATTCTCATATGAATTATACTAGCACGTAACTCACATATTTAATATCTTTCGACTGGAGAACCGTCGTACACAAGCATCGCACAAGTTGGCACTCCGAGGCGGTTGGGGAGCAAGAAGGTGAACTGTGGTTATTTTTATCAATAGTACCGCTTAAGTCGACGCTAGGGGCCGTCTTGACCTTGTTGTAGGGTATGAATGATTCGTTCATTGTTGAAGACCCTACTTCAACTGTCAAGATGAAGAACAGGAGCCCTGTTCATTGATAATTTTCTATGTTTTCTATGTATTGTGTGCGATTTTGTCCCATGTACAATTACTCCATATCCTTTCATTTTCTTTAAATATATTTTGTTTTTTTTTTCTTCTGTAACTTTACATTTTTAATAACATGACAAACCTTAGGGCCTTAACACTGCAGTTCCATTCCTGCTTAATGAAAGTTTCAATCAGGGGTATATAGTGAAAGATCACTTTTATCCGTTCATTTGGCCGCTCGTTCGTTTGCATGCCTGCATCTCCTATGCAAAATATGATTGCATGCATTGGCTACCTGTGAACTACAACCCATGGTTGAAGTGATGTATATCTAGACCAAAGGTCAGATATAAATACAAATGGAAGTGTAGATAAGCACATGCTGTTTGATATTACGCCTTAAAATGTACAATTTGTAGTTCGTAGTATACAATGGTTCTAAACATTTCACATTTCTACAGTTTACTCAAGCATTTCTCCTTCTAAACATAAGACAGATTGGAAGAATTAGTTCAATCTTTTTTAATAAAAGAGTCAACGTTGATACACATGTCCAGTTTAAGCAAGGACATATGCCTAATAAATAAAAAAAGTATAACAAAAATACTGAACTCCAAGGAAAATTGAAAAAGGGGAAGTCCATAAAAACTACCAAAATCGAACTTTGAACTATATCAACAAAACAGAACGAAATAATGGAAAATAACTGTCATATTCCTGACCTGGTACAGACATTTTGAGAAGAAAATTCTTCTAGGTTAACTTGGTTTTATAGATAGCTAAATTTCTCACTTGTATGACAGTTGTGTATTATAATTCCGTTATAATGACAAATTCGATTGAGCAAACCAAACTTACAAACTTTGGTGGATAGTTGTCTCATTGGCAATCATACCTCATTTCCTTAGTTTTATAATAGGTTAGTGTAACAACAATTGGGATCTACCAGCCAAAACTACTCAAACAAGAAGTTCTTATAAACTGCTAATGTGCACCTTTTATTTTGTTTCGTGGTCAGATTTAATTTTTGGGTTACTCTTAGAAAGGGTCAAGAGTATCATATAATAAGTAGTATACATTAAATATTTCCCCATGCCTCTTTTTACTTATTTGAGATTTATATTAATATCTCTGCTATTTGATGCTGATATTAATTTTTGTATTGTGTTTCGCATTCGTCATTGCTTTTAACAAAAATATTCATGTATGATAAAACATGAGGTGTGAATGTACGCCCAGTAGCAAGTTAAATGCATGTTCAGGGTGAGAACTTATAACTATGAGATATGATTATAGACCCTACTTTTTACTAGGCCGACATAGACGGGTACATGTAACAGTTCACCTTATACGGACATATCAGGACCGTAAATTAGAACTTGTTTAATAGGAGGCATTATAATGTGCGGGGGTCTGGGGAACGAACAGACTCCTGATGTTGAGCAGTTTTCCTGGAGATATTTTGACTTGGTTTCAGAAAAAAAACTGTCAAACCTCATAATTGAAACTGCTCTCTACATAACTGATAATTTTATTTATTATACCAAATTCACATTCTGATATAAAGCTTGGTGAAGATATTTTGAGCATTGCTAGTATATTACCATCATGTGTCAAAGTTTTAATTTCGTTCTTACTAACTTGCTGTACTTTTTCGTATCCGGAGAAATGATTTAGCTAGTGTTCGAACTTGGACATGAGTCTTCACAAGGTCACAGTTTTTAGATTTAAGTTCTATGGACAGCAATTTTACCCAAGTAAAAACTGTTTTATATAAAATTTGAATGCATTTGGAACTCATTGAAATACATATGAATATCTAAAAGGTGAAATGTGTATATTTTTAGAGATAATATCAAATAAAACATTTTGAAAAGGATCTATAAAGGTATAGAATGAACGTAAAAAAACATTGATTAAATACATTGTATGCATCTTGAATTTCTCGAAATTCTAGCCACAAAATTCCACGGATTCGTTTTCAAGTTCAGTAAAATTTCAATTACATGCATGTGCAGTCTCTGTATATAAAGTGACAAAAACGTAACTCACGCTGTAATTTTTCACATTTTTTCAAAATGATTTTAAAAGATTGCAAAAACGATCGGGTGACATTTTTTCATATCATTAAATCAAAAATGTTTACAGCGATAACATATAATTTAAAACAAATTATGTTGACGAAACTATGAGAAATCACAATTTTAATCTAATAAAATGCATTTTGTTCGTCGCTTTTTAATTCTAAATTTCTAGGTTCTCTATTTGAGACATACAATAAATACCTCTGGTTCTATTTATAAAGTTTTGAATAGATTGTATCTTTAGAATCTATATGTTAATGATACATGTACTATTTGTTCAATATTCAGACGAAGTTCAACAAGACTTAAATGCATACCAAATTTCGTATAAATCCGAAATATCATCTAATGATGCGTACTTCGCCTTAATAAATTGATGCATCTGGTCGATATAGTATTTTGGTTTGAACTTTATATCATGTATATCGTGAACCTGTCCATACTGTTTCAACAGCCAATTTTGTGTATTATTTGTGATCTCTATCGAGTTTCTGAAAGATTTGATAGGAACTGTTTGTGTCCTGGTTGAATAGGCATTCTCCTTGATCATGCATCAACGTAAATTCAACGGTGGCTTGACATTTATCTTCATAACAGGGTTCCTTATATTTTTACGCTTACGCGACGAATTAATGAACTGGCCATCGTGATTTTACCTAGAATTGCTACAAGAATTCTTAGATTTATGAGTGACTGACAACTGTTGATAAGGACAGGATTATGGCAGTACAACCGACAGGGTACAAAAAAATGTTCTACTTCGCATTTGGAAGTATAGAAAAATACTCATCTTGACACGTTCAGCTTTCAATCTGCATTATGTTTTGTTATACTAAATTTGAAATGCCATGTGACAATTTTTTTTTGTGGATTAACAAGACGAATGCCAAGACAGTTTTTTGAAAGCATGATGAATAAAATTTGTGAATGGGGTTTGACATGCATGTTTAAGAGGTCATGGGGCAAGATGGATGTTCTACGGTTTTAGAACAGGCATACATTGTCAGGATAAGAACGCGCAGGAGGATTTTGAAAATAAATAACTCAGCCTTGATAATAACAAAAATGAATGTTTTGTTCTGTGGTAGTTTGAAAATAAATAACCTGACTTACAATGTATTGAAAATAACTTGGCAGGTCTTTTAAGCCATTTTATAAATGCTATTCTGAAGTATGAGATGGCACCAGATTCTTCCAAAATTCGTCTTTTTATGCCCCCGCCGTAGCGGTGGGGGCATTAAGCTTTACCCTTGTCCGTCTGTACGTACGTACGTCCCAAAATTGGTTTCCGTTCTCTAACTTGAGTTTGCCTCAACCAAATGTTATGAAACTTATACACAATGCTTATTACCACAAAACACAGATCAAGTATGAATTTTGGTGGTGTCACTTTTACTGTTCTAGAGTTATGCCCCTTTATAAATCGACTACAATCAATGCTTTATACAATGCAATGTTTAATTTTGACTTCCACTGATAAAACACAGATCAAGTTGAATTTGGGTAGTGTCACTTTAACCATTATTGAGTTATGCCCCTTTATAAATCGAAAGATTGCAAAATTTTTAGTTTCCATTCTGTAACTCAAGTTTGCCCCAACCAAACATTATGAAACCTATACACAATATTCATTACCACAAAACTAAGATCAAGTACAAATTTTTTGTTTCCGTTTTCTAACTTTAGTTTGCCTCAACCAAATGTTATGAAACTTATACACAATGCTTATTACTACATAATACATATTAAGTACGAAATTTGGTGAGGACACTTTTACCATTCTTAAGTTATGTCCCTTTATAAACATAAACATTGCTGAATTTTTAGTTTCAGTTCTCTAACTTTAGTTTGTCTCAACCAAATGTTATAAAACTTAATATACACAACCGTTCTAGAGTTATGCGTGTTTATAAATAGAAAAATTGCTGAATTTTTAATTTCTGTTCTCTACTTAAGTTAGCCTCAACCAAATATTATGAGACTTACACACAATGCTTATTACCACAAAACTCAGATCAAATTCAAATTTGGGTAGCGTCACTTTTTCTCGTTCTTCATTTCATATTTTTTTCGGGAAAAACTTCCCAAATCTTTTAATAATATAAATATTAATGTATTTGAAATGTTTGAAAATGGGTTTCATTTCACTTGAGGTATATTGTCTAGTGAACATTTACCTCACTTTTATTACAGGGCCGTAACTACATTCAGGCAAATGCCTCATGTTGGAAATTTCAAAACAAAAGCTTGTCTTCATATCAAATTGTTTTCACGGCAAGTGTCTTGCAAGAAGCAAGTTCTGTTCACCCTCTGACGTAGCCCCTGTTTTTTTTAGATCAAATGTTTCTCATTTATTTTTATTTTTCAGTGTTGATTGTCTACAATGTTTGTCGTTTTGTGTTTTATCTGTTCCCGGGTTTGTCTTTTGTTCATTGATTGCCCTTCTTTATGACTATTCTCTTAGTCACGGTTGCATTCTATTTGTAATTTAGTAATTATGTTTTAAACTTGAGTTTTATTATATTTAAGGACCTTTTGTCTATTACAAACTACTTTAAATTGTATCCCAGTTAGGAACTACATCAAGTTGTAATTGAAATGTGTTATAAAAACTGACTTGACATAGTTATATCAATGATAATCAGCCCCCTCTTAACTTAATTTGAAAAAAACAAAACATAATTGACAGGCATAAATTTTAAAGGTTTTTCTGCAAACTGAAACATGTTTTGCTTTGTCCTACATATTGGTCTTTTGATGTTGTCCCTAAAATCTAAAAGTCTTACACTGAATCTATATATTTTGCTTTGAGACCAGAATATTGTCAAAAAATTAAAACAGAACTTGCGTTTCATATTAAGAAAGCCGGGTCTGGGAAACGCGCATAATGCATGATTTTGCGCCATTTTTTCTATAGCTTCTTGGGGCCTTCAGCGAACCCCAGACTCTTCGCTGATTTTTTTTCGCCTCGCTCCGCTCGGCGAAATGTTTGACAACTTTTAAAAGAGGCCAGTTACAGCCCAGCTTTAATACGTTGTACGTATGCAATATATGCAGTTTGCAATTCCGAAGATTAACCGTCCAGAGGATGATGATTAATTCTGATTGACTTAATTGACTTTGTTATTTATTTAAGAATTTAAAAATAGTAAGTTTTCAAATATTATAAATATGATTGTGAAAATTGATAATCAGTCCCTTGTTTTAATGAAAATGAACAAAATCATGCTTCAACAGTGCAGAAAATAAATAATCTGTCCTTTTGGTCCACAAAAATAAATAACCCATCCAAAACCAATCCTCCTCCCCCCACCCAGAATATCAAATGGTCGTCCCCTTAATGGAAAACAATAAGAAAAAATAAGAAATCAAACAACCAAGATTTTTTATTCGCAAAAAAGATCTTTCCAGTTTTATTGTTTTTTGTGTTGTATACTCGGTTAATAACCAAATCTTTTCATTATTTACATACGGTTTTTCATAATCACATGATTTTCAACATGTTGCCAACCAATGTCAGGACGCTAATTCAAATGCTAGCTGTTTTCTTTGGGATTTCGCTTTGTCAAGCAGTAGACAAAGTTGATTCACGCCCAAATATCATTTTCGTCTTGGCTGACGACTATGGCTTCAACGATGTTGGTTATCATGGGTCAGAAATCAAAACACCAAATCTTGATAAACTGGCCAGTGAGGGTGTAAAGTTAGAAAATTATTACGTGCAACCAATATGTACACCCACCAGATCCCAGCTTCTGTCTGGAAGGTATCAGGTAAGAATTTTAGAGCCCAAAGTACCTTGTGGATGTACATTAGTCTTTATATTAAATGCACAATTTTCATAGCTAGAACTAACAGGTTGGGGATTACAATGTATCTCTCAAACGGGTCATAATAATCATTTGGGTTATTATAGCTCAAATGGGATATAAATGTGGATTATTTTTCAGTGAATTAGGCAAAAATATTGAAAATTGCATTTGTTTAGGTCCAATAGGAATCCGGGTCCTTTCGCCCTGATTCACTTTCGCCCTAGTACCTGTTTGCCCAAATACCTGTTTGCCCCGGGTCCTTTCACCCTGATACGCAGGTACATTGATCTTACAAATTAGACTTCTGGAGTTGCACATGTCATAAGTACCATGTTTGTAATACTGATGGTATGGAACTTGTTGTTAGTCCTGTCTGATAGCTATATATATAGTTGCATGTTTGTTATAGATGTAAAAGCATTTATTATTGTGATTGTTAAACAAACCTAAACAATGGACACCTTACAGTGTATGTGAGATTAATTATTGGGATATCAGGAATTAGGCTGTGTACGAAAAAGGCTTTCAAAATTTAAATTGTCAGATTTTATTTTTGCAAAACCTCGTCGCAATATTGGCAAGAATAAAAACATAGCAAAAGTTTCTGAATTTACAGAATTCATTTTCTGCAAGCATCACTCTTAAAAATGTCTATAAACCCTCATTAGTGATCTTACAAAGGTCGAGATTTGGCTGAACAGAAAGTAACCTTGTTTTAAATGCATCAACGCCTTTTTAAAATAACTGTAGCTGTCCCATAAAGGGATACTTGTGTCATCTATGCAAATATGAATTTTTAAATTGTATACATCACATGTGACATATGAATAGATATGACTGTATCTATAGATTATACAGTATGGGAGAAACTCTGAATGCCTCAGCTGTGACCACAACATTTATTTATGCTTCATTGTGTTTATTTTCTACATTTTTTATGTACACTTGTAAATATAAGAATCTCCCAATTAGAGTAAATATGTTTTAATTTTCTATAATAACTAATAATTCTCTAATAATTTGTTTAACTTAATAGAAATGTTTTAAAAAAAGTTCATTATGTTATGCCATATTGTACATTGTTGTATAAGTATTATTGTATGTGGTGAACTTAGGTACATGTATTTTGCAGTAGCTTAATAAGGTATTTTCAATGGTATTGTGATAATACCAAGGATTTGTATCTAAATCTTTTAGTATACTGAAAAAAAATATCAATATTTTCACTGTACACAAAAATGTACCTACACAAATGGAAAATAAATATCAGTATACATGTATCTGAAAAATACAATTAGGGGCATTTGATAGCTTGCTATGGGGTATAGGTTTACTTATTGTTGAAGGCTGTACGGCGACATATAGTTGCTAACATCTATGTCATTTGGTCTCTGGTGTTTAGTTGTCTCATTGGCAAATCATACGTCTGCATCTCCGTATTTTATATTCATTTTAAAATACATTTACCGGTTATAATAATATGAAACAGTGAAAATGAATACACATGCATGCATGAACATTATGTGACCAATAAAACTGTGAAAGTTTAATACCAGGAAATTAATAAATTTTTCCCCTCAGATTCATACTGGATTGCAGCATGGAATTATATGGCCACTACAACCAAACGGTTTACCTTTAGACAGTCCAACCATAGCTGATAAAATGAAACAAGCTGGTTACTCTACTCATGCAGTTGGAAAATGGCATGTTGGATTTTATAAGAAGGAATATTTGCCTACAAGCAGAGGGTTTGACTCATATTATGGTGAGATTTGACTACAAGGTTTTAGTTCATATCTGCTTAGCCATATATAAATGAGAAGTTTGAATGGGTTTTTATACGACCGCAAAAAAATTTTGTGGTCGTATATTGGTATGACGTTGGCGTCGTCGTCGTCGTTGTCGTTGTCGTCGTCGTCGTCGTCCGGCGTCGTCGTCCGGCGTCGTCGTCCGAATACATATTGGTTTTCGCACTCTAACTTTAGTTTAAGTGAATGGATCTTTTTGAAATTTGACCATAAGGTTAAATACCACAAAAGGAAGGTTGGGATTGATTTTGGGGGTTATGGTACCAACAGTTAAGGAATTAGGGGCCAAAAATGGGCCAAAAATGAGCATTTTCTAGTTTCCAGACAATAACTGTGGAACGGTGTATGGATCTCTCTGAAATTATACTACAAGTTTCCATACCACAAAGGGATGGTTAGGATTTGCTTTGGGGGGTTATGGCTCAAACCGTTTAGGAATTAGGGGCAAAAAAGGGGGAAAAACAAGGTTGTCCTGGTTAATGGACAAATACTTTAGTACAAAACATAATTTAAAGCAGTGTAAGGGAGATAAATCAAATACATCATTGAAATTATCTCCCTTACACTGCTTTTAAATTATGTATAAAGTAATGGTTAATGAACAATAAAGATAATCTAAAACAGTGTAAGGGAGGTAATCAAAATACAACGTTTTGGTTACTTCCCTTACATTGCTTTTAAATTATGTTTAAAGAAATGCATATTTATAAAGGAAGACCAGTAAAAATATCTGCAAATGTTTTCATCTTTTTTTTTTACAAAAAAATCCATATGAAAGATTTGACACTATATTCTTATTAATTCTATTATAAAATAGATTAAGTTAGCACTATGGTAAATTTAAATGGGTAATTATGGTTTACAACTCCATTGGAAATTTGAATTGAGATTATGACCATATCTTGAGGGAAAGAATTTTTTGGGGGGAAAAAGGGGGGGGGGGGGGGATAAAAAGAAATTGTGGGGGGCCAATTTTTTCTCATTTCAGATTTCAGAAATTAAAAAGAATTATTCTTCAAATATTATTTTTTTTTCAAATTTCAAATATTGAAAAATTTCAAGAAGTAATCTTTAATTGCACAGTATGGCGCATTAGATTTGTAAAATCTTTGATCACATTTATTTATTTGTTATGCCGAATCTAACAGTGTATTTAGATTTTTAATTTTGGGTCCAGTTTTCAAATTGGTCTACATTAATGTCCAAAGGGTCCAAAATTAAACTTTGTTTGATTTTAGCAAAAATTGAATATATGAGGTTCTTTGATATGCTGAATCTAAACATGTATTTAGATTTTTGATTTTTGGCCCAGTTTTCAAGTTGGTCCAAATTGGGGTCCAAAATTAAACTTTGTTTGATTTCAACAAAAATTAAATATATGGGGTTCTTTGATATGCTGAATCTAACCATGTATTTAGATTTTTTATTTGTGGACCCCGTCATCTAATTGGTTCATATTGAGGTCAAAAGGGTCCAAAATTAAACTTTGTTTGATTTCATCTAAAATTGAATTATTGGGGTTCTTTGATATTCCAAATCTAACCGTGTATTTAGGTTTTTAATTTTGGGTCCTGTTTTTTCAATTGGTCTACATTGAGGTCCAAAGGGTCCAAATTAAACTTAGTTTGATTTTAACAAAAATTGAATTCTTGGGGTTCTTTGATTTGCTGAATCTAAACATGTGTTTAGATTTTTGATTATGGGCCCAGTTTTCAAGTTGGTCCAAGATAGGGTCCAGTATTTAAACTTTGTTTGATTTCAACAAAAATTGAATATATGGGGTTCTTTGATATGCTGAATCTAAACATGTATTTAGATTTTTGATTATGGGCCCAGTTTTCAAGTTGGTCCAAATTGGGGTCCAAAATTAAACTTTGTTTGATTTCAACAAAAATTGAATATATGAGGTTCTTTGATATGCTGAATCTAACCATGTATTTAGATTTTTTATTTGTAGGCCCCGCTATCAAATTGGTTCATATTGAGGTCAAAAGGGTCCAAAATTAAACTTTGTTTGATTTCAACGAAAATTGAATTATTGGGGTTCTTTGATATGCCAAATCTAACCGTGTTTTTAGATTTTTAATTTGGGTCCCGTTTTTTAAATTGGTCTTCATTGAGGTCCAAAGGGTCCAAAATTAAACTTAGTTTGATTTTAACAAAAAATGAATTCTTGGGGTTCTTTGATATGCTGAATCTAAACATGTGTTTAGATTTTTGATTATGGGCCCAGTTTTCAAGTTGGTCCAAGTTGGGGTCCAAAATTATGCTTTTTTTGATTTCAACAAAAATTGAATATATGGGGTTCTTTGATATGCTGAATCTAACCATGAATTTAGATTTTTTATTTGTGGGCCCCGCTATCAAATTGGTTCATATTGAGGTCAAAAGGGTCCAAAATTAAACTTTGTTTGATTTCATCAAAAATTGAATTATTGGGGTTCTTTGATATTCCAAATCTAACCGTGTATTTAGATTTTTAATTTTAAGTCCCGTTTTTTAAATTGGTCTACATTAAGGTCCAAAGGGTCCAAAATTAAAGTTAGTTTGATTTTAGCAAAAATTGAATTCTTGGGGTTCTTTGATATGCTGAATCTAAACATGTGTTTAGATTTTTGATTATGGGCCCAGTTTTCAAGTTTGTCCAAGTTGGGGTCCAAAATTAAACTTTGTTTGATTTTAACAAAAATTGAATATATGGGGTTCTTTGATATGCTGAATCTAACCATGTATTTTGATTTTGGACATTGGACCATAATAGGTAAATTAAAAAAATTCAAGTTCTTAGACCACATTCTTTCTGTGTCAGAAACCTATGCTGTGTCAAATATTTAATAACAATCCAAATTCAGAGCTGTATCAAGCTTGAATGTTGTGTCCATACTTGCCCCAACTGTTCAGGGTTCGACCTCTGCGGTCGTATCAAGCTGCGCTCCAGCGAAGCATTTTATTGTATATCAGTACTTCAAAAGATTTAGAATTCTTTACTTTTTCAGGATTTGAAATAAAGGATGATGTAATTATTTTTTATTTGACAGTTAAAAAGAATTTTATATATATGTGAATCCCACAAGAAGATCAATTAATTATAAAAGGTTTACATTAAAGGCATTAAGATTCATCAATTTATTTATGATAAAGACTAAGTTTACTCTAGACATACATTTGTACAAAAAAATTATTAAAAATGTTCTTTTAAACTGAACTCACCAGCAAGAAAATGTCTTTATAAATGTAAAACAAAAAGGTTTTTGATTTAGTGATAAAATCATGTCTGTTTGACATTTGACCATGATTATCATCAATCTTTTGTGAAACATTATCCCCATTTGATTTTGCATTTATATTGTGCTCATAAGTTTTTAAGGTGCATGTACATGAGGTTGAGAGGAAGGAAGTTCACCCTATGTGTATTATAGGGCAACTGAACAGCAGATGAATCTTTTTCTGAAATCATTGCCTTTTTCATTTCCTTGTACATATAACAAAAATATTTTATCTTAATTAAGATCTTGTACAGAACAGAAAAACTAGATCTGTTTTGCATTTAGATTGAATTTAAAACTAGTGGTTCCCTGGAACCTGAATTGCTCACCTTGAATTGATTTTTTTTGTCAAAACACCAAAAGTAGATTTTTCGTAAAAAAACTTAAGTTATAGCATATGAAGCATATCTGGCAAGTAAAAAATAGTTTTAATCTTTTCAATTGTTCTCCAGAAGAAGATCTTTAAAAATCTTACCACTTGTCCCCTTTTTTAGCCCCTTGATATCATACTGGACTTTTCATCAGGACAAATAAAATACTTGGTAAGTACCTTATAAGGAATGTTTCTGCATGGTTTGTTTTCATTTAAATTCACCTTTTCATGAAAAGAAAAGCAAAATATAATTTCCCATATGGTTTTAATGTAAACCTTTACATAAGTTAGGAGGCCATTTTGAATTAAAGATTGGCATCAAATTAACAACACTTATTACGGACCTATTCAGAGGAGCATTTCCAGCAAGTTGGGTTTCAGTTATAAGGTAAACAGCAATGAAAAAAGCAACCTCACAACACATGTGTACCAAATACAGTTATTTAGAGGTACATTGTACATGGACATTACACCTCTTTGCCAGTTGGAAAATGTTAAGATCTATTCAAAATTATTTATTGCAGAAAGTCAGGAACAATTATTGATCATTTTAAAGAAAGAAAATCCAAGATCTGGATAAAGTCCTAAGTCTGTAAATGAAGAAAAAAATGACCTTGACATTAAATTATTCAACTTCTTGTTTAATGTCCCTGGGTTGCTGTCTCATTTACATATCACCCACATCTTTCTAATTTCATATGCAATGAAAGTAATTTTGTTCTAATCTTTTTCAGGCTATCTTACTGGTTCAGAAGAATATTTTAAGCACTCAAGATGTTATGGCGGATATTGTGGAATGGATCTCCGTGATAACACAAAACCTGCAAGTGCCGATGGGAAATACTCAACACACTTATTCAGTGAGAAAGTCACAGATATAGTGAACAATCATAATTCTGATCAGGTCAGAGAAGTATAATTAGGCAGAGGAAATTCTTTTTATATGTTTTAAAATGCTTTATCAAATTGAAAAAAAATACAATCAGAAAGGAGATTTTTTAACAGAGTTCCATAACTTTAACGGAAAGATTTCAAATAGAACTGACCTAATAATACTTAGTTGTCATTTTGTAAGAGAAGAAATATATTTTTTACCCTTGCAATGCTTTTACAGCACATGTAAAGCAATATAGAAATACAAGACTAAAATTTGCAAGTTAATGATATCTTAGAAAGATTGTGATAATGTTAGAATAAAAAAAAAATCATAAATACCTGCATTCATTGTAAAAAAAAAATACGGAAATTCAAATGCCTCTTACTCTAGGTAAAAATATTATCTATATTTAAACTTAATTCTATAACATATTCCAGCCATTGTTTATTTACCTTCCATTCCAAGCAGTACATTCTCCATTACAAGTACCAGATGAGTATGTCATTCCCTACAATAATATTAAGGACAGGAACAGGAGATTATATGCAGGTAATTCAACTTAAATTACATTTTTTTAGCTCACCTGGCCCAAAGGGCCAAGTGAGCTTTTCTCATCACTTGGCGTCCGTCGTCCGTCGTCGTCGTTAACTTTTTACATTTTGAACTTCTTCTAGAGAACCATTGAATGGAATGAAACCAAACATGGCATGAATGTTCCTTATGAGGTGCTGACCAAGTGTTGTTACTTTGTAGCCGATCCATCATCCAAGATGGCCGCCAGCAGGGGACTTAGTTTAACATAGGACCCTATGGGAAATACAAACAAATGTCTTCGTTTAGAGAACCAGTGAATGGAATGAAACCAAACATGGCATGAATGTTCCTTATGAGGTGCTTACCAAGTGTTGTTACTTTGCAGCCGATCCATCATCCAAGATGGCCGCCAGTGGGTGACTTTGTTTAACATAGGACCCTATGGGAAATACAAACAAATGTCTTCGTTTAGAGAACCAGTGAATGGAATCAAACCAAATATGGCATGAATGTTCCTTATGAGGTGCTTACCAAGTGTTGTTACTTTGCAGCCATTCCATCATCCAAGATGGCCGCCAGTGGGTGACTTAGTTTAACATAGGACCCTATGGGAAATACATACAAATGTCTTCTTTTAGAGAACCACTAAATGGAATGAAACCAAACATGGCATGAATGTTCCTTATGAGGTGTTGATCAAGTGTTGTTACTTTGCAGTCAATCCATCATCCAAATTGGCCGCCAGCGGGGGACTAAGTTTAACATAGGACCCTATGGGAAATACATACAAATGTCTTCATTTAGAGAACCACTGAATGGAATGGAACCAAACATGGCATGAACGTTCCTTATGAGGTGTTGACCAAGTGTTGTTTATTTGCAGCCAATCCATCATCCAAGATGGCCGCTAGCGGGGGACTTAGTTTAACATAGGACCTTATGGGAAATACATACAAATGTCTTCTTTTAGAGAACCACTGAATTGAATGAAACCAAACATGGCATGAATGTTCCTTATGAGGTGCTGACCAAGTGTTGCTACTTTGTTGACGATTTACTGTTCAAGATGGCCACCAGGATATTTTATTAAATAACGGGACCAATATTAAACCAAATTTGGCCTCAATCATTATTTGGGTATCTGTTATGATTTTTATCTATCTTTACATGATTTCTAAAACCAAAGTAGAGTCAGGTGAGCGACACAGGCTCTTGAGAGCCTCTAGTTTAATATAAATTTTTGTCAAGAAAAAATATCTTTATTGTTCCCGATTTAGAGTATAATACATTTGGCTTTTGTTATTATAAACATTTGTAGTCATCTCAAAGGTCAAGGTCAAAACTTAGTCAAAGTTATACAATGTGAAGGTATGTAAGTTATCATTACCTTGTCAACCTAAAAATAGATTGAATCGACTTAGGAACACAAAAAGCCAATGTTAAATTCCAGCCAATATTTTTAATTTGTTGGTAAAAGTTCAAAATATTGAAAAAGTAAGATGAGTGCTTGTCAGCACAATGTCATAATAGGAATAGATTATGTTAAGAATGATACTGAAAGTGATGCTCATTGTGGTCTGGTATCAAAGTAAAAAAAAACACCTTTACTACATTGCAAGTGTAAAACAGCTGTTTTAGATAAATGTTTCTATATGAGGGGTTCCTGTGTTGTGGTGAACTTCCTGATAAATTAATTACAATAGCATTGAACATGAGCATCGTATAAACTCATAGTCAGAAATCCTGCTACACAATGAAGTCATATTCATTCGAGTGTGACTGACCATATGATTTCTATTTTTTAAAGCTAGCATTTAAGCAATTGACGTTTTATCATGGAATGATAGGGGCTGTTATCTTTTTTTTGGAATTCATTAATTGAATACACCAGTACTTGGGAATATTATTTAATTAACTTATCATGATTTTATAAAACTATTTATATTTGCTTTTTTAAATAATCAAATCTCAAAATCTAATAGTTGATCGAATTGACAAAATGATTTGAGATCTTATGAATTTTGAAATATAAGTATTAGATATAATGTAAATCTATCAATTGGGACAGACACTTTATACTTTGACTTGAGATATTAGGAATTTTGAGATAAAAGAGAGAACAAGAGTCAATAATATATATACATACTTTTGAAAATATCACTTTTCAAACAAAAGAGGTCAACCAAAATTGGGACACCCAAAGTAGAAATAGAGAGAGAGATTTTGGATGCACCAGCTACATATTCTTGAACCTAGTGGACTGAATGAGAGAGATGAAAAACAGTTTTATCAAAAACCAAAGGAATAAATCTTGAACTTCATACTATTTAACTAACACAATTATTTGTTTTGATTTAATAATCGCTATGTACAATAAGCTGCAAAATAAAATTGAGAATGGAAATGGGGAATGTGTCAAAGAGACAACAACCCGACCACAGAACAGACAACAGCAGAAGGCCACCAACAGGTCTTCAATGCAGCAAGAAATTCCCGCACCCAGAGGTGTCCTTCAGCTGGCCCCTAAACAAATATATATACTAGTTCAGTGATAATGAACGCCATACTAAACTCCAAATTGTACACAAGAAACTAAAATTAAAAATAATACAAGACTAACAAAGGCTAGAGGCTCCTGACTTGGGACAGGCGCAAAAATGCGGCGGGGTTAAACATGTTTATGAGATCTCAACCCTCCCCCTAATACCTCTAGCCAATGTAGAAAAGTAAACGCATAACAATACGCACATTAAAATTCAGTTCAAGAGAAGTCCGAGTCTGATGTCAGAAGATGTAACCAAAGAAAATAAACAAAATGACAATAATACATAAATAACAACAGACTACTAGCAGTTAACTGACATGCCAGCTCCAGACTTCAATTAAACTGATTGAAAGATTATGTCTTCATCATATGAATATCAGGCACAATCCTTCCCGTTAGGGGTTTAGTATCATACCATCATAACATATATGAGAAGAACATAACCCGTGTCATGCCAACAACTGGTTTTTAAATAAATGTGTTTAGTGCTGATGCAAAGACCCTAAAAGTGAATCAATATTAACGCCAAAATATGCAATCTTTAATGACCTGACAACAGTATCGTAACTATATCCCTTCTTAATAAGTCTATTTAAAGGTTTTGTTAGTTTCAGAGGTGAATACTGACATTTTTGTGCTTATATATTTCCATAAAAAATTGGATGTGAAATACCTGAACGTATAAGAAGTCTGCATGTTGAGCTATATTTACGAATGATGTCCTTATACCGATGATAAAATTTAGTAAATGTTTTGACTAGTTTGTGATATCGAAAACCCTGGTGTAATAATTTTTCAGTAATACATAAATTTCTCTCGTTAAAATCTAAAACATTGTTACATACACGAGCGAATCGTACAAGTTGAGATATATAAACACCGTAAGATGGTGACAAGGGAACGTCACCATCTGAAAATGGATAAATAACGATAGGAAATGAAAAATCATCTCTTTTATCATATATTTTAGTATTAAGCTTTCCGTTAATGATGTAGATATCAAGATCGAGGAAAGGGCAGTGGTCATTGTTAGTATTAGCTTTATTTAAAGTAAGTTCAACAGGATAAATTTCTTTAGTATACATACTGAAGTCGTCATTATTGAGAGCCAAAATATCATCCAAATATCTAAAATATATTTAAAGGACATGTACGATAAGCTGCAAAAATTTCTTAACAGCATCCGATTTTTATCTGTATGGCTGCACGCGCCTGATGAAGCTAAATTGTTAAGCAAAATATTGCGTAAATATATAAAATATAACAACTATTTTTATAACACTCATTAGCATGTTAAAGTTACATTCTTAGGCATTTATATATATATATATATATATATATATATATATATATATATATATATATATATCAGAATTTAAATTGTGTACATCTTTGTTCTGTTATAGGTATGGTATCAGCAATGGATGAAGCTATTGGTAATATAACTCAGACATTTATACAGAAAGGAATATGGAACAACACACTACTTGTATTTTCTACTGGTATGTAACTCATCTTGCAAAAAAAGTCTCCAAGCAAGAACAAATTGAGAGTGATGTGGTTTTTGAAAACATAAAAAATTAAATTATTGATTTAATTTTGTGTTAATGCAAAAATTAATTCAAAATTTGCTAAACTGAAGTCTAGTAACTGAGCTAATACAGAAGTTTTCAACGTGTCGTCCGTGGTCCGTCGTCTTCTTTAACTTTTTCAAAAATCTTTTTCTCTGAAACTTCTGATCCAGATTTAATCGAATTTGGCCACAATCATCATTAGGGTATCTAGTTTAAAAATGTGTCCAATTACCCTGCTTGCAAACCAAGATGGCAGACATGGCTAAAAATATAGAACATAGGGATAAAATGCAAGTTTTGTCTATTATCTTGAAAACCACTATCAAAAGAGAAAATCTGACAAGGGCACAAATGTTTGGAATTATGAGATCTACCTATTGTCCATTTACGCCCAAACTGTCAGATGACTTTTTATGGGAGTTATTGCCCTTAAGTGACGAATTTTACCAACTTTTTAAATTTTTGCCTATTATCTTGAAAATTATAATAGATAGAGAGAAACTTTATATAGCAAAAATGATAAGCAACATAAGTTCTACAAATAAGTCAACATGGTTGAAATCGTCTTTAATGGCAATTTTACAAATTTTTTGCATTTTTGCCTCATATCTGAAAAAGTATAATAGATAGATAGAAACTTAAATAGGCAAAAACGATCAGCAAGACAAGATCTACAAATAAGTCCACATGGTTTAAATCGTTTGATGACCCCTTATTTGTGTTGTTCTCTTTAATAAAGATTTTTATCATTTTTTGCTTTGTTGCCTACTTTCTGAAAAACTATATTAGATAGATAGAAACTTAAATAAGCCAAAATGATCAGCAAGACTAGATCAACAAAGAAGAGATTTTTGTCATAAATTGTATTCTAGTCCACAAAGATGGAGAGTATCCATTGTTGAAGATGCACATAGGTGAGCAACACGGGCTCTTTAGAGCCTCTAGTTTTTATATATATTAAAACTCTTTCATGACATACAGTAAAACCTGTTCTTGTGTTAGTATCATAATCTTGAATCCTCAATGCCTGCCTCAACACAAAAATGTATACATGTATAAATTAAAAAAATTTAAGCATTTAGTGCATGCTATATATTTGTTCTCTTCTGGTTGTGGCTTGTTATCAATTTCTTGCATGAAGAGATATTTCCCGTATCACACTCTGACAAGGTGATCTGGACTTTCAAAGGTTAAGACAATATACATTTAGTCCATGGCAACGGACATATGTGATTTCTTCAATGATATACAAAAAACTCACACTTTTCACATGAAAATCTGCTTTTGTTAAATCTTATTACATTCTGAAGCGTACAAAAAATTTTTATATGTCTAATATTAAACTTTGACGACAGAACAGAACACATGACGTCATATTCGTATGTTCAAAAGACTAGATCAACGATTTGCGGAATTTTTAATTTAACACAATGAGAGTGTTGACCATAAGAGAAATAGGTTTAACAACTCATGAGAATTGGATTAATTGCTTAATATCAACTCTTGTTATTTAATTTAAATAGTAATAATAAACTCGCCAGAGGCTCGTTTATTATAATATTTAGATTAGATAACTTGAGTCGATATCAAGTGATATCCAATACTCACTCGTTATGAAACATATAAATGGTACTACGTATTAGTAGATGTGCTTTCCTATATTTTTCATTGCCTCAAGAAGTTCACTTTGTCAAAGGACAAGGTTCTCTTTTGGCAAAATATGGTCTTGAATATGAGCTAAAATTATCATAAAATATCAAAATCTGGTTCTTAAATGGAACTATTCCAAAATCCTTAATGCTAGATAAAACAAATTTCTTCTAAATAGTACATGGTAGTAGGCTCCAAAATCAGCACATTTTAATGATGTTGTTAAAATTTGATAATTTTGTGCATTCTTCGGACACAAAAACTATAGAAAAACTATGGCCACAACCTAGGATCTGAAATGTTCTGTTACTAAAATGTGCCAAGGTTAAATTTAAATCCATAGACACAAAACAAGTCTAGATCATGGATGGCGGCCAGAGTAAAACATGCTAAAAATATTAAAAGTTATGGAAAAATTGGATCAAAAGTGATGATACAACACAAATAAGGTCATAACTTCAAAATTTATAATGTGAGGTGCAAAAAGAAGTTATTTTGTAGTAATACCTATATCTCAACTATTTCTATGTGAAATTTGAAATATTTTAGTCTGATTTGAAAAACATTAAAATCTAAAGGCCAATTTTTGCCCTTCGTTAACCTATCCATGTAAAGGAGAAAACAAAATTTTGTTATCTGTGTCCTTGGGTTGCTGTTTCCAATACATATAGTCTGAGATACTGAAATTTAGGCCCACTTTAAGGTCATTTAAGGATTTTAACGTGTACAAGTTATATTTTAACCCCTTCGCCCCCAATCCCGCCTGTAGTCGTGATGGCGACCATCATTCTTTGATGGCCAGTATGACCCATCATACTTTTTTAGAACTGCCCCAGCTTAACTGTCTTGACAGCAGGGACTTCAACCATGCAATTCATGGTCCATAAACTCTTCTAAGATGTGTGTTTATGAAAATATGGCAACTTTAATGGCCTTTTTAGAGTTCAAAATCAGAAAAACATGAAAAGTAGCCAAAATCAGGTGGGGGTGGGAGTCTTTTGATGGCCACTACGTTACTGGTATGGGCTGTAGGTATTTACTTTTATCATAAATACATGCATAGGTGGTACAGGAACACAAGGAGGTATAATATGGCCAAAAGAAATCTGCTCTGTAAAATCTAGGTCACCGTTTTGTAAGAAATCTAAAAACAGACATCTAGGCAGACCTGACTTGCCAATAACTCCCCAGCAAGACACTCAAGTCACATATACTTCCCGTCAGTATGGATGGACTGCTGTAACTATAAGGTAATACTTGAATGACTAAGAAACACAGTTTGGTCAATGTTCACCTCTCAAGTGAGCTGTTCTACAAAACTGTAGAATTATAAATATAAAATTTTTATCAAGCTTTCTTTAGAGAGTACATTTTTTATGGTTAATGACTAATGAAGATAGTTTTGTTTTAAAACTAATATTAAATATGATATCTAAACTAACAAAAAAAAATCGGGATTCATTATATCATTACTAAATCAAACCAACATCTCAAATATGAGAATGATGGAGTTGTCTCTCTTTGTCTAAATCTAGCTGGATATCCTCAATATGAAAGAAAAAACAAAAATTTATGTTGACATTTCTATTTTATGATTAAGTTAAAAAGGTTTTTTTATACAATCAATACAATTATTACTCTAATGGACCATTATTATCTTATAAGTTTATTGTTTAGTTTTTTTTAATATGTTATGAATAATTACATTGTGATTAATCTGCCCTTCAAAGGGCAACTTGATTGGTTATTAAAATTATCTGTATCTGTGTGTGAGTCTGTCAATGTTATTGTCAGCATCATTAAGCTTTATTGAATAAGAGGGTGATACTTTATATGTTCTTATACAGGTCAAAAGTATAAAAAAAATGTTATAAGCCAATTATTTAAGCCCATTGTAAGTCATGGCCAGATTTTCTTTCCCAGTGGTAAATAATGTCCAAAGGGGACTTACCACTATGATTTGTAGTGGTTACATATCCTGTTGTGCAGTCTGTTTAACTTTATATAAACATACCTCAACTTTGATAGATATGCTTTATGTTTCTTACTACATGTCTGCACTTTCAAAATCTGCATACAATATAAAAATGCAGGCTTTGAGGGTCAGCGATGCCTAGTGTTTCAAATTCACTTCATGAACTTCTGTTTTAGTCCTTCACACTACTAAACAAAAAAGCAACAATTTTATTGTTTTGAATGTGTGCATTAATTTACTTTTTTCATATTTAATCATGTTAATTCTTCTTTTCAATTATAATTAGACAATGGTGGACAAATCCTTTCTGGAGGAAATAATTGGCCATTGAGGGGATGGAAAGCCTCATTATGGGAAGGTGGAATGAGAGGAGTTGGATTTGTTCATGGTAATATGCTTAAAAACAAAGGGACCAGTTCTAAAGAATTGATGCATGTTACAGACTGGTACCCTACACTGATTGGTCTTGCTGGGGGAGATCTAAATGGAACAAAACCTCTGGATGGCTATGATCAGTGGAAAACTATCAGGTTAGTAAAAAAATTAATTTCAATTCCTAGCTATTATCAAATTTGTAATTAATAACGCTGTAACTCCTGATTCAAAAGAGAAATAAATACCATTAGAAGTGTCCAAAAATTTGAAATGAGAGTTGTAAATTACTTTCCTATATCCATGAACATATGGCCAACAAGAGTTGTTACAATGATATTATTATGTCACCCTAAATGAAAGTTGGCTGACATATTGCTATTCCTTCATTTCTTTTCTATGATTATGTCACTCCGAACAGAGTTTGGGTGACGTATTGTTATTCTACGTTTCTTTTTTGTTTTATGATTATTTTTCTTCCACACTTATTGTACACTCTGGATCTCGGAATTGAATGGACCCAAGTTGATGGTTCATAATAATGTTAACAACCAAGTGCAGATTTGTAATTGGCGTTGGCATTTTCAAGATGGCTGCCATTGCCATGGAAATAGCAAAAATTAAAAAAAAAGGAAAGTGTTCTAAACTTAATGAAATTTGACAGAAATGTAAACTGGTGTACACTTGCTCTTTGACTTTGACTTTGAAATTTTCAAAATGGCTACCATGCGAAAAAATATAAAGTGCTTAAAACTTAATGAAATTTTACAGAAATGGTAATTGGCGTGTGCAGATGTGCCATTTTTACTTGGAATTTCCAAAATGGCCAACTAAACATGGTAACAGCAAATAAGTGAAAAAATTTTAAATCTTCAATCTATCTGAAAATTTACAGAAATATGTGCCGTCATGCATAAAGGTGGATTCACTGTTTAAAAGTTTGAAAATGGCTGCAGTTTAGTGGCAAATGTTAGACAGGGGTGACATCCGCTATTGCTTGCAATGGCAAATCTAGTTCTTCTTATTATTCTTTCAATGATTTTTGTCAAGCCTGCGACTTTTGTCGCAGAAAGCTTGACATAGGGATAGTGATCCGGCGGCGGCGGCGGCGGCGGCGGCTGCGTTAGCTAACTTCTTAAAAGCTTTATATTTTAGAAGGTAGAAGATCTGGATGCTTCATACTTTGTATATGGATGCCTCATGTTACGAAGTTTCCGTCAGTCACATGTCCAATGTCCTTGACCTCATTTTCATGGTTCAGTGACTACTTGAAAAAAAAGTTAAGATTTTTTGTAATGTTAAATTCTCTCTTATTATAAGTAATAGGATAACTATATTTGGTATTTGTGTACCTTGCAAGGTCCTCATGCCCGTCAGACAGTTTTCACTTGACCTCGACCTCATTTCAAGGATCAGTGAACAAGGTTAAGTTTTGGTGGTCAAGTCCATATCTCAGATACTATAAGCAATAGGTCTAGTATATTCGGTGTATGGAAGGACTGTAAGGTGTACATGTCCAACTGGCAGGTGTCATCTGACTTTGACCTCATTTTCATGGTTCAGTGGTTATAGTTAAGTTTTTGTGTTTTGGTCTGTTTTTCTTATACTGTATGCAATAGGTCTACTATATTTGGTGTATGGAATGATTGTAAGGTGTACATGTCCAACTGGCAGGTGTCATCTGACCTTCACCTCATTTTCATGGTTCAGTGGTTATAGTTAAGTTATTGTGTTTTGGTCTGTTTTTCTTATGCTGTATGCAATAGGTCTACTATATTTGGTGTATGGAATGATTGTAAGGTGTACATGTCTAGCTGGCAGGTGTCATCTGACCTTGACCTCATTTTCATGGTTCAGTGGTCAAAGTTAAGTTTTTGAGTTTTGGTCTTTTTTTCTAATACTATATATGCAATATTTCAACTATATTTGGTGTATTGAAATATTTTATGATCTATATGTCAGTCACGCAGGTTTTATTTGACCTTGACCTCATTTTTAAGGTTCATTGCTCAGTGTTAAGTTTTTGTGTTTTGGTCTGTTTTTCTTAAACTATAAGCAATAGGTCAACTATATTTGTTGTATGGAAGATTTGTTAGCTGTACATGCCTGCCTTGCATGGTTTATCTGACCTTGACCTCATTTTCATGGTTCATTGGTCAATGTTTAGTTTACTTGGTTAATGTTAAGTTTATGTGGCAGTTGTAATAAAGCTTTATATTTAGGACTATCAACATAATATCAATGATTAGTAAAGAAGGCGAGACATTTCAGCGTGTGCACTCTTGTTGTAATAAGGCTTTACAAAAGTTGACGACCAATCTTGATGGATCTTATGCATAATGATAACCACAGTATGTAGATGTGCAGTTTGACTTTGGAATTTTAAAAATGGTCACCATTAGCATGGACAAATGTGAGAAATTGAAAAGTGTACCAAACTTAATGAAACTTTACAGCAATGTCATTGGTTGTGTGTAGATGTGTCATCTGACTTTTGGAATTTTCAAAATGACTGCCATTACCATGATAACAGCAGAAATGTAGAAAATTGAAAATTGTTCCAATTTTTTATGAAACTTTACAGTAATATGGCCTGTCATGTCTTGATGTCTCATCTGATTATAGGATTTTCAAAATTGATGCTGTTGCCATTGGAATAGTTTGGAGTGATTCCATTATTGCTTGCAATATGCAATCATTTTTGTTTTGATTTGTAGAAAATAATACTTTGAGTTGAATTAGATCAATCTGATGATTATCATGTTTGCTTCATCATACTTGTTGGACATTTTTTAGCCGTCTTATCTTCACACGAAAATTCAGGATTCTCCACTGATTAGATTGTTACAATTTTTAAACACATCTAGTTTAAATTCCATTAATATATCCCCCAGAACTAGAAATTAAAGAAACAACAGACACGGCTTCCTCCGCCTCATTTTTAGACTTATATCTTGAATTTGACATACACAGTCATTTCAGTACCAGAATCTATGACAAACGAGACGATTTTAATTTTAAAATTATAAATTTCCCCCACCTTAGTAGCAATATACCAACTTCACCTGCATATGGGATATACATTTCCCAACTTATTCGATATTCAAGAGCTTGCAGCTCCTACTCAGACTTTGTAAAATGTCACCAGTGTCTGAGCAGAAAGTTGATGAACCAAGGGTATGTCAAAGAACGTCTCGTCCTTTTTCTAAAAAAGTTCATCGGAAGGTACCAAGAACTTGTTGATAAATATTCCGTATCATCTTCACAAATAATACATGATGGTCTTGAAGTATAGATTCTGCGTACTGACGTTGTTTATCATCTTAACAACGTGTTATATTGTTCTTTCATTTGTCTTTGTTCTATTATTAATATTACTTTTACTGTTTGGTTTGTTTTCTGTGATATCCATTTGACGTGGCTAGGTACTTATACATCCCGTCAATGTGTTTGTATTATCTTTCATTTTTGCTGATGTGTTTTGTATATGCGACCTTTTGTGTTTCTTTGGTTCTTATAACGTGACTCTGTACTTTAAAAGATCCCGTCATTATATTATTGTTCTATTATATGTCATTATGTTATTGTTCTATTATCAATTTGAAAATACTTTGAACGACAAACGACAAATTTATTTTACTCGCGTAGTGGTATTTACCATATGTGGATTCTTAAAAATTCTAAAGAACTTCTGAACAATTTTAAATCTCGGTCTATTTCTGAAATTAATTCTAACATAACTTTTGATTTTTTAACCCTGTATACCAACATTCCCCATGTGAAATTATTAAATTGTTTTGAATAAACATTGAACGACAAAATTTCTTCTTATGTGACGTTTACATTTTCTGACGTCAGACACATGAAGCAATGAATGTGGTTTTTAATTTGATAGATGCTTTTGTGCTTTTTTGTAAATGATTGTTTGTTTTGATATTGTAGCACAGTGATGACTGCTTTACCCATATTTTGACTATTTTATTTATTATGTCTGTTTTGTTCACCCATAGTTGTAAATATAACGGAATTTGATGAGACTGTCATACAAGTGAGAGGTTTAGCGCTATAAAACCAGGTTCAATCCACCATTTTCTACATTTGAAAATGCCTGTACCAAGTCAGGAATATGACAGTTGTTGTCCATTCGTTTGATGTGTTTTGTCATTTGATTTTGCCATGAAATTAGGGACTTTCCGATTGAATTTTCCTCGGAGTTCAGTATTTTTGTGATTTTACTTTTTACATATCGAGAAACTAACTATGACAATCCATCAGAAATCCAATTTTACAAAATAATATATGTTATGTGTTTATTTATTTCAGTGAAGGCATTGAAAGTCCTAGAAAGGTTCTTCTCCATAACATAGACCCATTATTTCATAGAGTTGGTGAACCAGCATACAATGGCACATTTGATAGTAGAGTAAGAGCTGCCATAAGATACAAAGATTGGAAATTAATTACAGGGAATCCAGGTAACTCATATACAGTTTAGATTTGAATTACAAAACAAACTACATGTTTGAGGGGTAGAATGCCTGTTACATTCTGGATCCAGTCATTTAATTCACAGAAATTCTTAATTTTACTGGATGAAAATATTTTGAAAATTCATGTTATTTTTGACATAAACTCAGAGTTTGATATTTTTTGTCAGGGTTTCCCTGTAAAAAGCTATTTAACTGCAATTTTACAATGATTCGGTTAAAGGTTTAAAATATGGTTTTCATTATAAAAAATAAACCTTGAATAATTGCACTATGCAGATCAGAATCTATAGAGATGTTTCACTATTTTATGGCTTCAACTGTTTTAAATCGCCCTAGTGTTCAAGGTACCCAATCTGAATCCAACAAAATTATATGAATTTATGATTAAAATATGTTTTTGAAATGTATTTCCTAAATATTGTATTGTTACCAGTTCTGAGTGAAATCCAGTGCTTGAATATGAGAGCACTAATCAGTTCTTGGTAAAATAAAATATTTGAGTAGAACTGTTCTTTTCAAATTTGTGTTTATATTGTTTATCTGATAAACTTAATAGCTAAGACACTGACCTTTCATCATACTTGAAAGCATGGGATTTTTTTCCTCATGACACATAATTCTTTTAATTTTAGTTATATCGTAATATAAACCTCTATATTTAAAAATGACAGTGCTTTGTAAACCTATATGGCTGGCTGAAAATATAAATGAACATAACTTTTGTATATTGTATTATGTCAATTTAGGTTGCACTTTAATAAATTATTAATTCATTCATATATCAAAAACAAACTTTTTTTTAATGATATACATGAACAAAAACTATTTTAAAGTCAAAGTTTTCACTATTTTTTTTTTACTAATTATTAATCAAAACAAACTATTTTTTCATTTCACTTTTGAAACAAATAATTTTTTTCAAGAAATTAAGAATCAAACAATTAAAAAAAAACCCAAACCCAATGCCTCTCCTCCTACAAAAATGTTAGAAAAAAGATAAATAGCTGCTGCCGAATATGAAAGGATTTTATTTTACAAGTCAACATTGGATGTACCATAGAACTTCATGCTATTGAATACTAAATGATGGTATTGAAAAAATAACATGTGAATTCTTGTTCAACATACATGTACACAAGTGTAAGTTATAAACTATATACAAATATTATACTATTAACTTTTCAGGAAATGGTAGTTGGATACCCGAACCAACCTCACATCTATCTGCTATATACCAGTATGAAAGTGAGAGGAAAAATCTCTGGCTGTTTAATATCGCTGAAGACCCAAATGAACATATCGATTTATCCAATAAATATCCAGATATTGTTAAGACAATGTTAGACATGTTACAAAGTTTTAACAATACTGCTGTCCCATGCCGATATCCTAAGGAAGATAGAAGAGGCAATCCTGACCTTCTTGATGGCTACTGGGGACCGTGGATGTAATATCATAGCTTAAATGTTTTGTGTTAAAAATCCAGGACTTGTGCAATATGTTTCATTCACTCGAAACAGTTTTTATTGACTGTTAAGGTGTTTGCTATTCTAAATTACATAAACCTTATATTTACATTTAATAGGATAAATAGATTTGGTGTGCTTATTCTATGACAGAGTAAAGAAATTGTTGTAGTTATTTTATCATCTGTTTGCTTCATCGAGGTGATGGTAAAATGTTTGAACATTTTTTTCCTATCTTTTGAATGAATCTCACTTATATATGTCAATACATTCCTTATATTTACTCTATGCATTTTTAGCTCACCTGACCTGAAAGGTCAAGTGAGCTTTTCTCATCACTTTGCGTCCGTCGTCCGTCGTCCTGCGTCCGTCGTCCTGCGTCCGTCGTCCGTCGTCCGTCGTCCGCAAACTTTTACAAAAATCTTCTCCTCTGAAACTACTGGGCCAAATGCACCCAAACTTAAACACAATCATCATTCAAGTATCTAGTTTAAAAAATGTGTCCGATGACCCCGCCAACCTACCAAGATGGTTGCCATTGCTAAAAATAGAACATAGGGGTAAAATGCAGTTTTTGGCTTATAACTCAAAAACCAAAGCATTAAGAGCAAATCTGACATGGGGTAAAATTGTTCATCAGGTCAAGATCTATCTGCCCTGAAATTTTCAGATGAATCGGACAACCCGTTATTGGGTTGCTGCCCCTGAATTGGTAATTTTAAGGAAATTTTGCTGTTTTTGGTTATTATCTTGAATATTATTATAGATAGAGATAAACTGTAAACAGCAATAATGTTCAGCAAAGTAAGATTTACAAATAAGTCATTATAACCGAAATTGTCAGTTGACCCCTTTAGGAGTAATTGCCCTTTATAGTCAATTTTTAACCATTTTTCGTAAATCTTAGTAATCTTTTACAAAAATCTTCTCCTCTGAAACAACTGGGCCAAATTAAATTAAACTTGGCCACAATCATCATTGGGGTATCTAGTTTAAAAAATGTGTGGCGTGACCCGGCCAACCAACCAAGATGGCCGCCACAGCTAAAAATAAAACATAGGGGTAAAATGCAGTTTTTGGCTTATAACTCAAAAACCAAAGCATTTAGAGCAAATCTGACATGAATTAAAATTGTTTATCAGGTCAAGATCTATCTGCCCTGAAATTTTCAGATGAATCGAACAACCTGTTGTTGGGTTGCTGCCCCTGAATTGGTAATTTTAAGGAAATTTTGCTGTTTTTGGTTATTATCTTGAATATTATTATAGATAGAGATAAACTGTAAACAGCAATAATGTTCAGCAAAGTAAGATTAACAAATAAGTCAACATGACTGAAATGGTCAGTTGACCCCTTTAGGAGTTATTGCCCTTTATAGTCAATTTTTAACAATTTTTCGTAAATCTTAGTAATCTTTTACAAAAATCTTCTCCTCTGAAACTACGTTGCCAAATTAAACCAAACTTGGCCACAATCATCATTTGGTTATCTAGTTTTAAAAATGTGTGGCGTGACCTGGTCAACCAACCAAGATGGCCGCCACGGCTAAAAATAGAACATGGGGGTAAAATTCAGTTTTTGGCTTTTAACTCAAAAACCAAAGCATTTAAAGCAAATCTGACATGAAGTAAAATTGTTTATCAGGTCAAGATCTATCTGCCCTGAAATTTTCAGATGAATCGGACAACCCGTTGTTGGGTTGCTGCCCCTGAATTGGTAATTTTAAGGTAATTTTGCTGTTTTTGGTTATTATCTTGAATATTATTATAGATAGAGATAAACTGTAAAAAACAATAAATGTCGGCAAAGTAAGATCTACAAATAAGTCAACATGACCGAAATTGTCAGTTGACCACTTTAGGAGTTATTGCCCTTTATAGTCAATTTTTAACCATTTTTTCGTAAATCTTAGTAATCTTTTACAAAAATCTTCTCCTCTGAAACTACTGGGCCAAGTTAATTATAGATCGAGATAATTGTAAGCAGGAAAAATGTTCAGTAAATTAAGATGTACAAACACATCACCATCACCAAAACACAATTTTGTCATGAATCCATCTGCGTCCTTTGTTTAATATTCACATAGACCAAGGTGAGCGACACAGGCTCTTTAGAGCCTCTAGTTTAAAGACATCAGATGGATTTGATAATATTTTTTAAAATTTTTTTATCAGAATTTTTTTTATGTTACTTTACAATTTTCTATATCATATGTTACTCAAGTATGGATTAAATAAATATATACACATTTTGTTATATTAACCTTCATTTCATACCTATTATGAGAGCTTGGTGCAACAGATGTTATCCTGGAACTCTAAAACGCCATTTATTTTCCCAAATATATCAGATGTTCTTCTGGTAGAGACAGAAGAAAGCAGTTCTTCTACTACATTGGAAATGTTTGTTTCAAAATGGTGTTAAAAGTGTATCTAAGGGATAATTTTATTACCTACATATATATAGATGGCATCAGCAGTTGTGTTGTGCTCAGGTAAATCGGTATCAGCTTATATTTTTGCTGTACACACTATTATGTACTACTGAAGTGTTTTAGCTGTTTAGGGTGATACAGTCTAACATGATTTTCATTATTAAACTGCTTCATTGTCCATGCATTAACATGAGCTTTTGATTGATTACTGATCACACTTATTTTTTGCTTGTCTGCATCAAAAATCACAGCATGCAAGACATAGGGAATACAACCAGACAAGGGCGGCAGCAAAGAAGGCGTAAACTATTTGTATAAAGCTTTATATTTCAAAAGGTAGAAGACCTGGATGCTTCATACCTTGTATGCAGATGCCTTATGTTACGAAGTTTCCATCTGTCATATAACCATTGTCCTTGGCCTCATTTTCATGCTTCAGGAACTGCTTGAATTTTTTGTCATGTGACATACTCACTTATTATTAGTAATAGATTAACAATATTTGGTATATCGGATCCTTGCAAAATCTACATGTTCGTCAGACAAGGTTTTACTGACCTTGACCTCATTTCATGGATCAGAAATCCAGGTGAAGTTTTCGTGGTTAAGTCAGTATCTCAGATACTATAAGCAATAAGTCAACTCTGGTGTGTGGAATGATTGTGAGGTGTATATGTCATGCTGGCAAGTTTCATCTGACCTTGACCTCATTTTCATAGTTCATTGGTCAGTGTTAGTTTTATGTGGCTTGGTCTGTTTCTTAGATAGTATAAACAATTTATATGCTGTATTTTGGTTAAGAAATGTTTGTAAGGTGTACATGTCTGTCTGGCAGGTTTCATCTGACCCTGACCTTTTTTACATAGTTCATTGGCTTATATTAAATTTTTCCAGTTTGGTCTATTTCTCAGATACTTTAATCAATAGGGCCATTATATTTGGTGAACGGAAGTAGATGTGCAGTTTGACTTTGGAATTTTAAAAATGGTCACCATTAGCATGGACAAATGTGAGAAATTGAAAAAAGTGTACCAAACTTAATGAAACTTTACAGCAATGTCATTGGTTGTGTGTAGATGTGTCATCTGACTTTTGGAATTTTCAAAATGACTGCCATTACCATGATAACAGCAGAAATGTAGAAAATTGAAAATTGTTCCAATTTTTTATGAAACTTTACAGTAATATGGCCTGTCATGTCTTGATGTCTCATCTGATTATAGGAATTTCAAAATTGATGCTGTTGCCATGGGAATAGTTTGGAGTGACTCCATTATTGCTTGCAATATGCAACCATTTTTGTTTTGATTTGTAGAAAATAATACTTTGAACCAGGTAACTCATATACAGTTTAGATTTGAATTACAAAACAAACTACATGTTTGAGGGGTAGAATGCCTGTTACATTCTGGATCAAGTCATTTAATTTGCAGAAGTTCTTAGTTGAAGTAGATAAATCTGATGATGATCATGTTTGCTTCATCATGCTTGTTGGACAATTTTTAGCCGTCTTATCTTCACACAAAAATTCAGGATTCTCCACTGATTAGATTGTTACAATTTTTAAACACATCTAGTTTACATATCGAGAAACTAACTATGATAATCCATCAGAAATCAAATTTTACAAAATAACATTTGTTATGTATTTATTTATTTCAGTGAAGGCATTGAAAGTCCTAGAAAGGTTCTTCTCCATAACATAGACCCATTATTTCATAGAGTTGGTGAACCAGCATACAATGGCACATTTGATAGTCGAGTAAGAACTGCCATAAGATTGGAAATTAATTACAGGGAATCCAGGTAACTCATATACAGTTTAGATTTGAATTACAAAACAAACTACATGTTTGAGGGGTAGAATGCCTGTTACATTCTGGATCAAGTCATTTAATTTGCAGAAGTTCTTAATTTTACTGGATGAAAATATTTTGAAAATTCATGTTATTTTTGACATTAACTCAGAGTTTGATATTTTTTGTCAGGGTTTCCCTGTAAAAAGCTATTTAACTGCAATTTTACAATGATTCTGTTAAAATGTTTAAAATATGGTTTTCATTATAAAAAAATCAACCTTGAATAATTGCACTATGTAGATCAGAAGCTATAGAGATGTTTCACTATTTTATGGCTTCAACTGTTTTAAATCGCTCTAGTGTTCAAGGTACCTAATCTGAATCCAACACAATTATATGAATCTATGATTAAAATATGTTTTTGAAATGTATTTCCTAAATATTGTATTGTTACCAGTTCTGAGTGAAATCCAGTGCTTGAATATGAGAGCACTAATCAGTTCTTGGTAAAATAAAATCTTTGAATAGAACTGTTCTTTTCAAATTTGTGTTTATATTGTTTATCTGATAAACTTAATAGCTAAGACACTGACCTTTCATCATACTTGAAGGCATGGGATTTTTTTCCTCATGACAACCAATTCTTTTAATTTTAGTTATATCGTAATATGAACCTCTATATTTAAATATGACAGTGCTTTGTAAGCCTATATGGCTGGCTGAAAATATAAATGAACATAACTTTTGTATAGTGTATTATGTCAATTTAGGTTGCACTTCAACCCTTTCGCCGATGAGTCCCGGTTTACCGGGATTCACGCTTCAGACAGCTGACGATGAGTCCCGTTTTACCGGGATCGGAGTACCTCTTTTATATTTCCCGCTCAAAACAGTGCAAATACGAGTTATCTTTCTTTGTTGAATCCCCGGATGAAAGTGTAAACATGGCGCTTCCGTTTGTTGAAAACCGTGTCAAAATCAGAGGAAATTTACGGAATTTATGAGAATTTGAAATGAGGGAACATTTTTTTTGAAAGAATATGGAAGAATTGAAGCCAAACTAGTATACTTTTTTGACATAAAATGTCGTTTTATGTACAAAACACTTGGAATGGACATCGTTCAGTGTAAGGAATTTGTACAGCCTCATTAAATTTTTGAAAATTTTGCCGTTTTGGGTTAAAAAACTACGATTTTGGGTCAAAGAGCATTTTTTTGGAATTTCACCTAGATAATGCCGAAAATTTGAAAATTTAAATATTTTATGAAGAAAAAATTATCAAAACATGAACAAAACTGTGAACATGGTGTTAGTGAATGAAAAAAAGACACAAATAACTACAGACAAGTTTTTATTGACATTTATTATGAAGATCTCCCACTTGAGTAATAGTAGCCAGGGAAGCCATCGTCTCAGAGTAGCTTCTGTCTGGGCAGCTATCGGTGAAAGGGTTAATAAATTATTTATTAATTCATTCATATATCAAAAACAAACTTTATTTTAATGATATACAGGGACAAAAACTATTTTAAAGTCAAAGTTTTCACTATTTTTTTCTTACAAATTATTAATTAAAACAAACTATTTTTTCACTTTACTGTTGAAACAAATATTTTTTTTCAAGAAATTAAGAATAAAAACCCAAAAAAAAACCCAAACCCAATGCCTGTCCTCCTACAAAAATGTTAGAAAAAAGATAAATAGCTGGTGCTGAATATGAAAGGATTTTATTTTACAAGTCAACATTGGATGTACCATAGAACTTCATGCTATTGAATACTAAGAAATGATGGTATTGAAAATATAACATGTGAATTCTTGTTCAACATACATGGAGCCTCTGGCCTTTGTTAGTCTTGTATCATTTTTAATTTTAGTTTCTTGTGTATAATTTGGAGTTTAGTATGACGTCCATTATCACTGAACTAGTACACATATTTGTTTAGGGGCCAGCTGAATGACACCTCCGGGTGCAGGAGTTTCACGCTGCATTGAAGACCCATTGGTGGCCTTCGGCTGTTGTCTGCTCTATGGTCGGGTTGTTGTCTCTTTGAGACACATTCCCTATTTCCATTCTCAATTTTACACAAGTGTAAGTTATAAACTATATAAAAATATTATACTATTATCTTTTCAGGAAATGGTAGTTGGATACCCGAACCAACCTCACATCTATCTGCCATATATCAGTATGAAAGTGAGAGGAAAAATCTCTGGCTGTTTAATATCGCTGAAGACCCAAATGAACATATTGATTTATCCAATAAATATCCAGATATTGTTAAGACAATGTTAGACATGTTACAAAGTTTTAACAATACTGCTGTCCCATGCCGATATCCTAAGGAAGATAGAAGAGGCAATCCTGACCTTCTTGACGGCTACTGGGGACCGTGGATGTAATAACATAGCTTAAATGTTTTGTGTTAAAAATCCAGGACTTGTGCAATATGTTTCATTCACTCAAAACAGTTTTTATTGACTGTTAAGGTGTTTGCTATTCTAAATTACATAAACCTTATATTTACATTTAATAGGATAAATAGATTTGGTGTGCTTATTCTATGACAGAGTAAAGAAATTGTTGTTGTTATTTTATCATCTGTTTGCTTCATCGAGGTGATGGTAAAATGTTTGAACATTTTTTTCCTATCTTTTGAATGAATCTCACTTATATATGTCAATACATTCCTTATATTTACTCTATGCATTTTTTAAAGACATCAGATGGATTTGATAATATTTTTTTAAATTTTTTTATCAGAATTTTTTTTATGTTACTTTACAATTTTCTATATCATATGTTACTTAAGTATGGATTAAATAAATATATACACATTTTGTTATATTAACCTTCATTTCATACCTATTATGAGAGCTTGGTGCAACAGATGTTATCCTGGAACTCTAAAACGCCATTTATTTCCCCAAATATATCAGATGTTCTTCTTGTAGAGACAGAAGAAAGCAATTCTTCTACTACATTGGAAATGTTTGTTTCAAAATGGTGTTAAAAG